AGCCCCCACGGCCGGGCCCGGTCCCGGGGGTTCGCCTCTGCCAGAGGCCGCTTCGCCGCGGGTTCTGCTTTAAAGGCTGAGCCATTTCGGTCTGAGAACATGAGGCAAATGCCGTGCGAAGCTGGTTAATTCATGCCTTCTAACCATGCGGAAACGGCCTTTTAGCTTTGTTTCTCAAATACAGAGCTTAAAGGTAGGGCACCTCCAGATGCCCCGATCCTCTGTAACTTCCCGATAAGGCCGTAAGTGCTGTTGGACCCTTTTGGAACAGCAGAATGGAACTTGAGGAGACCCTTGCCATACAGGGGCACAGGCTGACACCTCGAGAGAGCAGCAACAGAAGTCTCACCAAAAGCAAAATAAAAATAAATCAGAGTGTCTTGAGATTGGCAAAGCGTGGCGAATGGCCACGCTGACAAATGTGACACCAAAGAACTGAAGACCAGAGAGTCGCTGTGTTCACGCTGTTGTTAAGTGCAGCTGAAGCTTGGCTGCGAATATTTTTTCTTGTAACTCCTTTGCTTTAACCAATTATGATTCCATAGACAAACATCCTGTGTGAAGTTTAAGACCTAAACAGTTATCCAAGGTAATTAACCCCAAGGCACCATAATTTTAAATGTAAACATTTGTGTGAATGTTCCTCATTCCAGCCCTGTGTTACCATTTAAATAAAAATCCCAACAGTCTGTTGCATTATGAGCACCAGCCCTTTTTTTTTTTTGACGAAGATAACATTCTACCTTTTAGTCTGAAAAGTATATGAGTGCTGGATCTGACTTAAAGGAGTGACACCAAGGTGTAATTTAGGATAGTGTTGGCTTGCGAATTAGAAACAGCATAGGTGGTCACTAACAACTGAAACAGCAATTTCACTACTCTTTTTTTTTTATTATGGTGTTGGTTGCAACTGGGTATTTTCATGGACAACCAAGTTTGCTTTTCCTCTAAGCTTCAGAAGGAAATGTTTCTTAAAAAACATTTCACCGATATCAGGAATGTTCACAATTTCATCTAAAAGTGTTTTCTTAAATAAGATAACAGTCCTTCATTTATGTGGATCTTGTTGCCTTTTCTGTGTATCCTGCAACTTTTCAACTTCCTTTTCAACTTTCATGTTAGTGAATTTTTAGGGAAAAGGGATTCGTATACATGCACACGTATCTATATTTAAAAGTTGTTTGTTTATATATATGCATTCATAGCAAATTTCTTAAATAATTTCTAAAACATTTGCATTTTTAACAGATCTTTGAAACCAAATGTGAGAATTGGCATCTGTGTCTAATCTAATTTTCTTACATTATTTAATGCAGGTTCCTGCTATTCAGCAAAAAAGAACTGTAGCATTTCTAAACCAATTTGTGGTTCACACAGTGCAGTTTCTCAACCGCTTTTCTACTGTTTGTGAAGAGGTATGTTCATTGATTTCCTAGCTGTCAATTTAGACAATGAAAAAAATCCTAGAAATGAGAACCATTCATTTCAGTATTTTTGATGCAATTATACTGGTAGTTTAAACTAAAAAACTTTAGTCTGCTTTCTGTTCAAGGTTTCTCTTGAATAAGTACTTAAGTCAGTGATTTTTTCTTTCCATCCAAGACATCCACATGAACTGCTGACTCTACCACACTTAATTCCGTTTCCTTAAACTTTTGCTTTTGGCACAGTCTTTGAACTTTTAGATACATGGAATTTATTCTGAGCAGCTCCATCTGTGGCTATCATCTTGTTTTGGAAGAAGGATTCTGTATTCTTGTTACACTGAATCCATTTTGACAGTTAGTATCCCTCTCATCTGTGTCCTATGATATTGTATCAAAACCTGCTTGCGGATTTTACCACCTTTGAAAAGGTGGTACCCTAAGGTCTGAATGTTTTGATCCAGAAGAAAAAGGCTTTTTTGGCAAGTGATTAATGTAGAACGTGATGCAGTTAACTTTAGTCTTGTAAAAAAAGAGAAAAATAAAAGTATGTATTGTTAACAAGTTTTTAGGATGACTTTGATGTCAATGGAAATATACCAGGTGGACAGGACTAGTATTGTCCACTGAACAGGACAAGAGTGCTTCCTCCCTTGTAGAAAGCGTGTTTTCCAGTGTGGTTTTGAGCTTAACCTTTTTGTCGTTGGTGGGGGTTTTGTTGTAGCTATTTGTTAGTTTATTCAACAAAGACTACTATATATCCCTAGCCAGCAGGGCTAGGGCAGCAGTCAAATCCAATCAGACTAGGCCATATAATCTGAGAAATTCTGCTATTTGTTGGTAAAGTTTAGAGCCAGACACATGATGAGTATAAAATTTGGCTACCACATCAACATATGGAACTTCAGAGGAAAAAAAAAATAGTTTATTTTCTAGATTTTTAAATTTACTATAATTTGATATGTGGGACAGTGTAACTGCCTGGTGATGCTGTTGTCAGTTATCCAAAAACTCAGTTGTCATGTGATCTCAATATTACCTCTGTATAGGCCCTGTGGAAATCAGAACACATGTATTTAAAGATATCTTGAGCATGGAACAACTCTGTGAGGTCTAGTTAATAGAAGTTGTTAGTTAGTGTAAACGTGTTGTTACCCAAGAGACTAAATAGTTGCTCTATAAACTCATTGATTTTTTTTTTTTGTATTTGTAAAGTATGGAAGTGTTCGTAATGTGAAAGATCCCAGTCAAAATTAACAGAAGCCAAAAAATTCAAAACTAGGGCTGACACCATCCTTAACTCCAAGTTTCTTGGCTCTCATCTAGTGAAACTGACCTGTAAAGTTACATAATTCTCTTTTGTACGTCTTTCACCCCTTTCCCTGGCTACACATAGGGCACACAGTTCCTTTCAATAGGAACTAACTCTACGAACAAGGAACCATCTGTAAACAAGTCAGTGCACTATCCAAAAAGACTTAACTCCTGTCAGTCTCTTTTTACTTTTTTCTAGCCTATTGGCAGAACTGCCATTTTCTCAGGGTGTTAAAGTTCTGCTTCAGAGCCAGGCAGAATCTTGCCAACATGCCAGAAAGCTGTCAGAGGGGTACGTATCTGCCAGCCAGTGTGCTAGCCAATTTCACTTGGACAGGTCTGGTGGAATATGGTAGTGATTAGTTAAAAGAGTGACAGTTCTTACAGAGTAATTCAGAAAAACTTAAGTTGTTTTTTTTTTTTAAAAAAGGTGTTAAAATTTGATTGAGGTGCACCTGGACCATATAAAGCTTATGGTTAGTTCTGGTTCACTGTGCATTTTGACTATGTGGGACTTTCAGTCACCTGCTGTATTCCTTCTCAGATTTTTCTAGTTTGTATTTGCTCAGTTATGTATACACACATCACATCTTTTCATCTTCCACATTTGGAAAAAGCTTTGAAAAAAGATGTTTTGGTAACTGTGAAAGTACGATATGTCTACTGTTATTCTTCAGTTGCCCAAAGTAATACCCTATGTACTTTGGCTTTCTTCTGTACGTAGTCTGTCTTCGTTTGTGTCAGTCACTGTTTGGGAAAACTACCTACCTAGTAAAATTATTTAAAATTTGATTTTCATGTCCTAATTGTTTTCTATTCTAGAAACTGTCAGCGCTGTCTCTCCGTATCCAGCAGATTGAAACAACACTCAATATCTTGGATGCAAAGGTTTGTATGTGCATACACTTGGTCTTCTAACAGTGACAGCTTCCTAGATTGCATAAACTAGCTTCCTTTTCATAGTCTGAATTGAGCAAATAAATTTTCATGATGATTTGGAGGAGCTAATGCAAAATGCTCACATGGCAAATTCTCTCTTTCCGTGCCTTGCAACTTACATTGTGTAGCGTTTGGACACGTAGCTGATATGGAAGGAACCAACCACACGTAGTGGGAATGGTGATTTTGCCTCTGTTAAGCATATTGAACAGGAAAGAAGCACTTGGATCATGAAAGGGCAACTGAACTACATGGCAGCTTACTTGTGTTGATTTTATTGTGCTGTTTAGTTTTAAGGAAATGGAGAGAATTTTCCCGCAACTTCTGTCGCAGGGTTGCAGTGTGAAACTGCATTTGCCATACAAACTCTCATAAGAAATTTTTGCTCCCTTTGTAAAACAAAAGTATCATTGTAAGTGTTTCTGGTCTGTAAGTATTTCAACTGGTATACGGAACTAGGCAGGTGCCTTGTAAACCTTTTGATATTCAAATGTGGTATGAATTGCATCGAAACTAACACAAGTGTGTCTGATGTAACTTCTTCAGCTAAAATGACCAAAGGATATAATCTGTAGTCATCTATTATCATTTAATATGCTAAAAGAAAAAAAACAACAAACAAACAACAACCTCCAAAGCAAAAAAAATACCACAGCCACTGTAAAGTTTTAAACAATACTTCTTTCCATAAAGCAATTTAATTTGGCTTTTCTGGGAGCAGAGATAGAACATTTTGAAACTGTTCACTAAGATCTTTGTAAAAAAAAAATCCTTAGTGGTACAAACTGTGTTTATTAACTCATATTTAAAAATATTTAGGAATTATTAGTATTGATAATTTTTGCAGAATTCTTTATAATCACATTAAATAGAATTTCCTTCAAGTAGATATGTGGCATATTTAATATCTACTCAGAGCATTTCCTTAAAAAAGAGTGAAAGATTTAGAAAATTATCAAATCTGTAACCAGTCCCCTATCTGTCAGCTAATAGAGCTATTCTTGTCAAAATTCCTTTCACTGTAGAGGAAGTAGCAGAGAAGGTGACATGGCTCTAGTGCCATTGTGAAGAGCAGTAGCAAAATGCTGGAAAGGTATTGAAACCTTTCCTGTGCTGCAACCCTTTGTCAACAATAAAAGCTCCAAAGGGAATGTTTTGGGGTTTCTGTTTTAGAAGCCGCCTGAATTGAAAGATCTTTTTGGTTTTTGCTAGTCAAAATACCAAAACTAGTGATAAAACGTTATGATTTTACAAATGTGAAACCTACCTGGGGAATATGTTGTGAGCAGCGTACTGCAGATTTCATTGTACATGTAGATTTATGATACACTCATTGCTTATTTGATGGTGTTTTGTATATTCAGTTATCCTCTATTCCTGGCCTAGAAGATGTCAAGTTTGAAGTATCCAGTGCAAATATGAATAGTGTTACAAATGGTCCTGTGGCACAGGCTACTACAGATCAACAGAGAGCTGTATCGCCTCAGTCTGGAGTAAGTAGTGAAGCATAGCTAGCACGTTGAAGGAATATACCTCTCTGTGTCAAGTTTCCAGTCTCATTTGAAACAGGTCAAAGAAGCAAGTCTTTTGGAAGAGAGCAATCAGCTGTAAAGATCTAAAACTACGTTTTTCACTGATGAAACTGTTTTTAACGAGTGACTTAAAAAAGGGTATACACTTTCTTGAATGTGTGGCTTAAATAATTGGAAATAACACAAACCTAATGGCAAATGCCTCCATCCTCTTCTCAATCACAATGAAAATAGCAATTTGAGTCATGCAATTCCAACCCTCATTCCTAATTTCCAACTCTCCTTCCTTTAGAATATGAACTTTCATCTCAAATTGGCGTTTCTAGCATCCTTTATTTTAAAGAGGTTATTGCACAGAATATTTTCTGTATATAATCATCTATGTATGGAAAATGCCAGTTTATAATAAGTGATCAATATCCCTGCAATTAATTTTTTTATTGGGGTTTTTTTGTGTATGCCTGTGGGCGTTTTGTTGGTTTTTTAACCCAGACTTAAATCCTGTGATCACCGCTCACTGAGGCTTTCTGACTTGTTGGAGGTGAAGTTCCTTCCCCAGCTTCCTACTATAGTTTCTTCTCTTGGAATCTCCAGTTCCAGTCTCATCTTATTCTCTTTATTTGGTGGAAGTTGCTGTGGAGTGGCAATAGCTGGAATACTCTACTGCTTTTCCCTGTCTGTTTAAGATTATAACTGCAACTTGTAGCCAGCAGCATGGGAAACAGGATGGACAGTTAGCATGGCGTGTTTTAGGCATGTTAGAGGATGATTTCTGGTTATTTTGTGTTCTTCAAAACGTTCCTCCTCAGAAGAGATATTCCTGAAAGGAGGTTTCCAATGCTACTTTCACATGTTTAGTTTAATAGCAAATACGCCGTTTTATGTTGCCCCTTAAATAGTACTATAGCTTCTTGTCATTTTTCATTTTTCAATATTAATTACTCTCAAGGATTCTTTGATTTTATTATGTTATCCTTTAGGTTAATGTTTTATATTAAAAAACATAGTTTAAAAGTTACATAATTTGTATGAAACATATTCAGGGAATCAAATAAGTATTTTGAAGAAAAAAATGCATTGGACTACCCAAGGAGATATATAGATATAATCCTTAAAAAAAAATTATAAAGTAAGCATTCAAGTTTAGTTCTGTTTTACTCTTTAAATACAACAAACTTAACAGGGCTATTATAGAGGTTGATTTTCTTTCACATATTTTACAATAACTTAAAATTGTGACTAAAAGTAGAAAGTCACACTTGTAACAACAAAAAATGGAAGAGCTGTGTTTTGTGTATTCATACGTCTTGGAAATCTTTAATATTGTGAATGTGGATCAGAATAATCTTGATGAAGAAGGGCTGAGCTTTATTTTTCCGAATTTAAATCTCTCCGTGCTTCTGGTCTGAGTACCTAAAGTGTTCCCTACTTTCTGTGCAGCAGAACAATGTACAAGAAGAAGGATTACAGAAAACGGAGGTAGTAACAGAAAATGTCACAACTGTGGCCAAGGATCCAAGATATGCCAGATATCTCAAAATGGTACAAGTGGTAAGTCAGTTCTTTTATCATTCTTTGAGTACTTTTAGGTGGAACATCACACACACCTGTAAGTAAACATTAAATGTCTGAAGACCTATGTTGCAACAGTAATCTTTAAGCTAGGGTAACTTTGTGATGTTTCTAGCACATCTCCTCTAATAAATGAGTCGATGTAATATATTCCCTTGGGAAGCTTCAGGCAAGAGCTTTCTACAAAATTCTGCCAATATACTTGTGAACTGAAGGTGTGAAGATGTGTAAATGCAGAGCAGTATTAGCTGGAGTCACAGAAGATGCTGCTGAAAGTGTAGTTATTCTGGCAGAACTAAGTAACAGAAATGGTTGAAGTTGGTTTTGCTGTAGGGTGAAAAAATACAGCTTTGCTAGTATAGCTGAGCAGAAGTCTGATATTTCTGTAGGGTTCAAAATAGAGCCAGAGGAATTGCTTCCTTACTCGATTCAACTTCAGTTTCCTGTTCATGATGCAGTGGGGTTTTTTACCTCTTTTTTGGGCTCTTCTACAAATAATTAGGAGGCAAATTAATATAACCGCAATATTTACATGTGCAAAAACTACTGAAGGAGCAAAAGGGTGAATGGGAGACTCTTAGTAACGTTTTTAAGTGCTCTTTTTTTCACATTCCCAAAATCCAAAATGAGCATGGAAACAAAGACGAAAATATCTCTTTGTTTTCAAGCTTGTCAGTGGAAATTTTCCTCAAAAATATACATTATAATTCTGGAAAATATAACTATGTCATAGTATTAGTGAATTGTTGCTTATGTTAAAACTAGTTTCCTGTTTTCATTCCCTCTTGAGAGGAATTATTACAGTTGGTGTGCTTGGTACTTTGGATGGTGTTCCAGATCTCACTTTTCGTTTGAATCACAGATTGGCGCTTCATAGGCTGCTTATTACAAACCATTTGGAAAACCTAGCAGTGGGGTAGTAGCAGGGAGTAGAACGCTGTGTTAGTGTGTTGACTTAATGCCAGACTTCAAAGTGGATGTGAAAGTGCTGGCTGGTCTAATTACTTTGATTTTTTTTATTTTTTGGTGACCGATAGAGAAGTGAGGTCTCACTTTCCACATTTACCCTTTGTACTGGCAGTTCCTGGTGACTCCTCTGCCAGTTGTAAACAGTGTGGTAGGAAAGTCAAACTAACAATCTACAAATTGATGTGTGTTTTTGTATTTGCCAAACTGGTCTTCTCATCCAGTCAAGTATTTCGGTCAGTGTAATTTCTTTGCCCAAATTAAGTTTCTAGCTGAGGATTTGTTTGAACCAATTATTTATTTATTGCTCAGATTACTTGTAGTATTTAAGAATTAGCAGCATGAAGAGACGCTTCTTTTACAGTGAAGTTAGCTCTTGTGTGAAATAGTAGCAAACTCATTTCAATGGAGTGTAGGTGAGCCTACTAAATTAATATTTTTTTTTAAATGTACAACAATAATATTCAAGCAAACCTTAAAGGAATATCATATTTACTATGATAAATATTCAGAATACTTCTGTTGCTAGTGTGAGAGAAGCAGTCTGCAATTTCAGATAAACTTAACATTTAAAGCACAAATACTTTTAATTGATTCTAAACACAAAATATGACACTTGCACGAATACCAAGAGACTGACTGGCCTGATAGAGGTGGATCCTTGCTTTAAAGAACGGAAATAAAAAACCCAAACACTGAGAGTACACCACTCTTCCAGAATTGCCAGCGCTGATGGTGTGTGACCTCTTCCTGCGCTATGGAGAGCCAAATCCTAAATTGCAACAGGATTGCCACCTGCACTGTGGCTTCTGCAGGCTTCCCAAGCTGCAGGACCAAGCCTGGAGTAGGGCTGGAGTGCACTGTGCTGAACTTGTACTGATTTGGATTATTTCAAATCTTAACTGGAAGAGAGACATGCAATGGAAATTTGGTGTTGGCTCCTATGTTAGAAAAGTACACCTGTGCCATTTTGGTGGGCCTGTATGCTCAGGTTAGTTACTCTTTAGATTTAAATTAGTTGTCTGTGTTATTTTACTAAGATTTAGGGTCACAGCAGTATTAGGGTCTTGATTTTTCAGACTACAGCTTATGAAAGTATGAAAGTAATTGCTATGCCCTAATTGTATTATTAAACGGTATAGGTACAATCATGATTTCCTTCAGCAAAAAAAATGCACTGTTAAAGTATTTTTGACTCAACTTAAGATTACTTTTGTAAATCTATGATACATGAGGGTACTGAGAGGTTTTACCTTACATATTTTGATGCATACAGTTGTGGAATACAACGCTTTTCCAAGTGTGAATGTAAAAGTTTTCCAGTTCCCAGTCCATTCTTAGAAGTTCATATACCAAGCTCCCTTTCACTGAAAGCAAATATGAATTCCACTTTGCCTGATCTGACTCAATCTTCTTTTCACTTGGTTTGAACTGATGCGTAAATGCTTCATCAGTGACTTCTCAGGTCGGGAGAGGAACCCCAAGAGCAATCAAGTGAAGGAAAAACATTAGGTAGTATGAGACACACAGGTATAGACACACAGTCCCTGGGTTCCAAACCTGTACTAGAAAAAGTGAATATTTAAAACTCTCAAATGCTTTCCCCTTTTTCATGTACGTTAGTTGTGAGTTACTGAGAAATTCTTTATTGCAAGCTAATACCTTGCAACTATTTGAGTCATTTTTTTGCCGATATATGCCGCACAGATAGCTAAAACTATGGGCCTGTCTGTGCACTGTTCCAGAATCTTCATGTACAAGTCTTGGTTGTGATTCTTACTGAGAAACTGCACCAGAAAAACACAGTAAGACAGTGAGTTTAGCTCTCGCTCTGCCAGGTTAGCTACTGCAACTGTCCCTAGTACCACACACTTCTCTAGAACAGTATTGATGGTTGCCCTTTATTTTATCACTATTCTACTTACTTTGTACAAAAGATATTTGTCCTGTGCCAAAAAAAATCCTATGCTAATTTTCATTTAGGTCATGAGGTTGCCTCTCCTGACCTGCTCATAGTCCACCAGTAGCTTTGTCCCTTGGAAACCAGAAGTTGTTTGTCCAGGTGTATTTCTGATGGTTTGCAACAGGGGATGGCAAAGCCACAAGTTGTCTCTGAGCAACTCTAGTGGAAGCATAGGAGCAGTTCGTTGGAATGTATCTCGTAAGATGACGTGGGTCAAAGTTTTCTTGGGTATGTGATCCAAGATGAGGGGATGTTTAGGTGTTGTTGAGTAAAATGAAGTGCAGAAGCTGTGGAAGGACTTGCAGTGAAAGGAAGGAATTTTTTTAACACGTCCTTACTTGGCTAAAATTTGCCCGTAAGTCATAGAAGATTCAAGACTGACTGTACAAGCATTTGTATTTGGAGGAATCACTTCTAATTTGTGCTTCGGTTCTCATGTCCTATTTGCCTTTTTCTGCATGCTTTTTAAAGACTTTTCTGATTTTTAGCACTGCCTTGAAGTATTCTCCCAGAGCTGTAGCAGATGAACTTTCCTTGTTTTCCTCCCAGTTTGCCTTCAGGACATCTGAGTCTTCTTCATCTTTCTGGCACAACCCTTCTCCTCTGTCTTTGCGCTACTTTGTGCTTCCTTCACCTTCTCATGCATACACATAACTTCAGCTTCCTGGTTTTATCTGCATGAATTGCAAATATATGTGTCCATTGTCGATTCTCTCCCTGCAACTTTGCCATATATATAAGAAGGATTAAAAGGGCCTTTGATCAAAGTAATTTCTTGCTTCTACGTTCATACTGATCAGCTGAGCATCAAGACGAGCATTCTATGCCCTTGTTCAACAAGTGACATGCACAAATCTGTAAGAAATTGTAGCCTAAAAGAATCTGTGGAATTGCGTTCACGTGTTTGTGTCCAATAGTTTCATATTATTCTCCTTCTTCCTACGCAGGGTGTTCCTGTAATGGCAATAAGAAACAAAATGATTTCTGAGGGGCTAAATCCAGATCTTCTCGAGTAAGTAATCTGTAACTTTCGGTAGGGACGGAATGCAGCCATATGTTCAAAAAACTTGGAAAAAAGCATGCTTAGGAAAGCTTGTTTATGGTATTGTGAATTTAAATTATCAGCATTAAAGCAGATTTTGAAGACATCCGTGAAAGACATTTTTAGCGTTTTATAGGTCTGAAAGAAGGATGCTATGAGGGATGCTATGGGATGTTATGAGCTGTCTTTTCAGTATTATCTAGTCCAAGGCAAGGCCCAGGAAATAAAGAGACTGGAGCATGGATTGATAGATACTGCATCCTCCTGAACAGAAGGTTGCAAGACTTTGCCCTTCATATGTGGGAGGAAGTGAAAGTACTATTTCTGAGCCAAGCAGACATGGTGCAGTTCAAGGAGAAGGATACAGCAATGACAAGGTAGCATTTGACAACATGCACCTAAGAATGAGGAATCAAATAATACATCAGTAGCCATTTTCACTTTACTGTTTAGAGTATGAGGTTTTTCCCAGGTCATTTTCTTTCAACATTTCGTCAACAAAATGTCATCATTGTAGAGTAATAAGAACAAACTCTCTTTGGTTTTGCGGGATGCATGAGGGACAACATAGTTGTTTTCCAGATTCCCTCAGTAGATGGAGTGTACAGCTTGATTTCAACGTCGACGATGTAAATTGAATCAGCAGTTCGAAATTTTAACTGTTGATTGATCTAACCTGATGTGAAGACTACTAAGAATAGATACTCATTCTCAAAGCTATTTGTCTGGCCATAAGCATGAGTTTCAGACTTGTTTAACATTTGACGTGTAATTTAGTTTTACTGTAATATTTCACAGGCTTTGTTAAACTGGTGAAAATATTAATTTTTATTATATTTTAGCAACTAAACTGTTTGAAACACTCGGAACTATTAAAAAGTCCACTTCTCCTTTCCAGTGAAGTCTTTTTTATATTTTGGAAAGGCTTATTCTGAAACTAGCAACTTGTTTAATAGAATAAATAAAAATATAGGAAAACTGAAGTACTGTCATATGTTGAGTGACTTTATCTCCCAGCTACTTCCTGGTGTCTAAATAAGCCTAAAGTAGTAATTTCTCATTTGATATTTTTACTAATTGAATGAGAAATAGGAAAAAGAACACAAGTGAAAACCTGTGCAAGTCTGAGACAAGGTTATCAAGCACGGTTTTACTGCGTGTGTGTTGTGTTTTATTTTTTACTCTGCATTCCTGGTCTATATCTCTCTATAAATGCTGCAATTTCTTCATGTTTGGATGGATTTTTATAGTAGATAAAAATAATAAGCTAAATTTTCAAAAGCTTTTTTTACAAAGTACCTGCTGTGGGATTGTCTGGGTTGGGTTAAGATAGAAACATTGTCACTGAGGATTTGGGCTCACAGAGTGTGTTTGGAGTTTGGTCTCAAAGTCTGTCATATGAGATTCTGTGCAACAGTAATGTTTAGGCAGATTTTCTTAAAAATATTATTGGTTTGAAAGCTGTATAGCAAATCTGCCTAGTCAAAGAAAGCTAATTATTTGGCAAAGTGCATAATACATAATATATTGAGTCAGGTGTGACCTTTCCTTTAACTGTCTTTCTTTCTTGTCACAATATCATAGACTTCCATTTTTTTGTATGTATCTTGCCATTTACACCACAATTACTGGGCCTTTAGGTTCCTTAGACCTGCTCAGTCAGTCACAGTGAAAATTAGAGAATGGTTCATTTCTGTGTGCTTAGTCACTTAGTGCAGACTCTTCCAGCTACTTGCCAGTGACTGAACGTGTTTTCTTTGTGGCTGCTGAGATGCTAATTCTAGTAGTATGGACTTGTTTATAGCCTCTCCTTTGGCTGTTCTGTTATCACTCCTTTCACAGCTTTTTACAGAGTTTGCCTATTCTATCAAGCTCCTAATACATCTATTTTTAACTTCTGTTTCTCACCCTTCCTCTCTTGCCTGTCTGCAATTCCAGGAGAGTGTGTCCTGCTCTCGTGAACTAAAGGAATTCATTGTCATCTTTCCCTCCTTACTAGAGGAGAGTTTTTGCACTGGTCTCTCCAGATCACATGTCTTTGCACAGCTCTTCTGTTTTGTCATTACCACAGCAACAAGGAATAATATTGTGAAGTGGTATTTGCATGAGAAAGCAAACGCTTTCTTCATTTATTTTAGAGGTGTGCAGGCGGGAGAGAGTAGGCTCTCCTACGGTTCTTCAATGCACTTCTCATTTCTGTGCCCAAAATGTTTAGAAACACTTTAAAGGTACCTTGGGGATTTCTGACAGAGAAATCATAATAAACAGAACTCAAGTTGGCAAAGAAATTCTGTGGCATGACACACGAGGGTAGCCCCAAGATAAATAACAACCGGACAGAAAAATGCAATTGTCGGCTTAGTTTAAAATGTAATATGTTATCAAAAGAGAGCAGTTAACTCTCCTACAGGAAGCTAGTTTCTGTGAAGATCATTCTTCCCTTCTCCAGGTATAATTGTATGTATGTTTTCTACCTTGGTTTCAGAAATTTACCAGGCTCAGTCTTGCTTGTGTTGTCTAACTGATTATATGCTTAGGAGGGAGGTTCCAGAGAGAGGCAGCATCTTCAGTCAGTAGTGTTAGTTAGTCTTCAGATGGCTTGCTGCTCTCCCCTTCATTCCCAGTAGATTCCCTGTGCAAATGTTTTGACACAGTGTTAAGATCCATCTTAAATATTCTCTTAAAACTAAATACAAAAGGTCTGATCATTTATAGTCAATAAAAATCCCATGGCTGCTCTTGCATTTTAAACTTAACCCAATGTTCTAGCCAAATTCCACTCTGAGTAATTCTTTTTTGCTTCTCTAAATTATCCCTGCAGTTTTAGTTGGATACAATATTGTTCATTTCCTGTCTTATTTTTTTCATGTACTATTTACACTGCTTAATGGTGTACATCATGTTCCTTTCAGCCCTAGAACCTCTGAAGACTGAAAAAAAAATTTGAATTAATCAGTATTGCGTGCTTTCAACTCTTTCTACAAGTGTTTGCCACGGCTTAGTGATCTGTCATTATTTCCACTAATCTCAGAGGTGTGCATTCAAACTTCTGTCTACCAGTTTTGATGCCCAGTGAATTACCATTTATAGTGTTTTTCTTTCAGCTGCAAGTGAAGTAATAACTGATAAGGTGTGAGTCTGCAAATGGTTAATGTGTTAAATGTTGTGGAAATAAAGTCCATGCAATTGCAATGAAAGGACATCAGCATTATGTGCTAAGGTGCCTGCGTTCTCCTTTGCCTTCTCCAGTTTACAACAGTTTTTGTTGCCTGCAGGACCCCAGATGCCCCCATGCCTGCCTGGGGAGATGATGGGAAAGCAGAAGACAGTTCTGATAGTGAATCTTCATTTAGTGACTAAAGAGACTGATTTTGCCCTTTGGAAACTTCTGTTAAGCGCTAATGTGTGTGGAGCTTTAGCAGGCGGTGGTTTTGCATGGGTCACGTGGGCGACGTGATTTATCTGACAGCATTATTAAGAACCAAGATCCTCCGTGTCCTCACCTGGAGAGTTTGAACAGGCAACATGTTGCAACCTGAACCTTTCCACCGTGAAAATTAATTGTGAGATCCTTGCAATTTTTTGTGCTGCATTGTTTCAGATTCCTTTCTGATGCATCTGAAATTACTTTGTAAAACTAAAACTTCCCACTCCTCTACACCTTAAGGTCTCTAAGACTGCATTCTGGTCATTACTGGATTTTCTATGTAACACATTTAGCCTGAGTTGCCTTCTTTCTGTCCCATAATTTCCAGGTAAAGTAACTTTTTAAAATGAATTTGGTTCACTGATGAACTGTATTTTTTTTCTAATATACTATATTTTGAAGTGATGCAACAAGAATGACATAGAAGTCAGCTATCTTACAGTGTCTGCAAATCAGTGGTACTGTATTTTGAGAGAAACTAAAGCCTAAGTGTGATCTCAGCCTAATTTTGATGTACACACTGCTATTCAGTGTCATGTTAGAGTCTGTACAAAGTAGTTAAATTCCTGCTCTGTAGAAGAGTGGATTTCTCAAGTTCAGCTTACAGTGGTGTAGAAAGCTCCAGACATTGCAAGATTGGCTTGAAAATGACACTGTGGAAGAAGCAAGTGGCTGGGAGATTACTAATGGGATACCAGATTCTTAGTGCTTGTTCACTATTACATGGGTCGGTAGAAGCCACTTTCTGTCTGCTGTTTGGCTTATTGTAAAGGAGCTGTGGCAGAGCAGTTTGCGTAGCATAATAAATCATCTCCAAGTTGGTGTATTTGGTGATAATTTCAGTAAAGAAGCCAAAATTCAGTTTGTAAAATAATAAAACTACCTTGCGACCTCTTGTGGTATGCATTGGGGAACAGTATAAAGAAATTCATTTGGAGCCTGACTGCCCTGAAGACTTCCCTCCAAATTGCTTAATCTGCTCCATGAGTCAAAAGTGACATTTCATTAAGGAATCGTCTTTAATACAATTTGTTCCACATGAAACTCTTCACAATCTATTTGAATCCCCCAGATCATCGTGATTATACCAGAATGCTGTGGGCCAGGCAATCATTCACTTTCTGGTATTTCACTTTCTTCCTGAGACCAAGAAAAGACTAAAACTGAAGCTCTGAGTATATAAATTTATTAGCTTTTATGGCCGAGTCATTATCTTCTCTCTTAGCTATTTATGCCCCTTTGGTAGGTTAGCTGCTTTTTTTTCTGTAACTTAATCATGGCTCACATTTGAGTCTAGCAGATGTATTTAAGCTCTTCGTAACCTGTAAATCAGAGTAATGCCTGAATCCCTGCAAAAGCGTACATGCACGAGAGGGTGTTTAGAGATGGCCTTTCAGTGATGAGCTGTTACTGAACACTTAAAAGATATTCAGTAGTTAACACTTGGTGAAACTCTAAAAATACTTACATATTAGTGGTAAGTATTTCAAAAGTAAAAGTTGTATTGCTGTTTCAGAAAGCATATATTAAAACACTTGTGATTTTTTAAAGTTTATATTTGAAAACTCATTGAAGACATCTGTATAATTAAAGCTATGCTTTGTAAACCAAACTCGTGTTTCTGTTTTATTCCCGTATGTTGTCTTAAACAAGATAATGAAAATTCTTGCGAAGTTCCTTCAGTTCACATTTCTTCAAAACTAGTTATGCTGAAGTTGCATCAATCTGCCAGCTGAAGAGGAGAATTGTGAAAGTGGGGTTTAGATTTAACCTAAGCCACGTTAGCACTCTGACTAAAGGAGAACTGAATGTCCCATAGCCACTGTTCTAAAATGAAAATCTGAGGAAGACAGAAATTAATGAGGACTGTGTGTTTGACACTGTTGAACTGATATTAACCTATGTAAGGAAGTAGCATGATTTAAAGAGTTGAGTTGACATGTAGTGGTTAATTATTTATTATTTTAGTAGCAAGGTTACCAAAACCTGTTTAAGGAGGTATCGCTTCCATGTTTATCATTTTGAAGAAGCTTTTTTGTAAAGTAATCTTAATCTGAAAAATCGAAATCAGTTGTCTTTTACACCGCTACAGATCTATTTTTATGTGGAATGAAAAAGAAAGCCTCTAGCCTATCGTCACTTGTTAAAATGAGGGATAATTAATTGGTAATTACATATGTCACGGAGTAATAGTTTCATCTGTAGGTGTGGTGAATTTAATTGCTTAAGACTTGTGGATTTTTGTCAGGGTAGCTGTTTACTTCGGAATTGTGGAATCTTGTTAGGCTTGCAGAAACGTTAATACCAATCTTGCTACTTTTTCTCCTCTCCCACTAGGGCGGCGGCACACTGCACGGTAGAAATCCGAGTGCCTGAGCACAGTAAAAATTCAAGTGCTTAGTTCCAAGTGAGGAACTAGGATAAAAAAAAGATTAAAACCTTCCTCCTTTACCTTCAGTGCATCAGCAGCCATAGCGCTTCCACGTCCCTCAGAACCTCTGACCACATTAAGCTCCTCTGTGCCTTCCAGTCTCATCTGCTAAACACATCCCTGCGCTCTACAGCTGTAGCCAAATTCACCCTGAGTGTTTCAGCTCAGGACACATGCTGACACAAGAACCTATTAAGTATGGGAAGGTTGGTTTGGGACTGAATTATGTCAGCTGTGCTAGTCCTTCTTGATCTACAGCAGTTTTCTAGTGAGATGGTGCTAACCCAGAAAGTTGGAAAGTCCATAACCGCAAGCTAAATACTATAAGCAGACGATATTCCAACTTGCTCATTATTTCCCATCTGTTTTGGAATAGAAAACGGAGGGAGTATTTCAACTTGGCTGCACAGTAACCAGATATACGTAATACTTTCAAGGGAAGAAGTCCATTTTTAAGTGGCTTTTTTTCTTTAATAAAAGCTTCCAACAGTAAAGAGAGAACTTCTAAAAGGTGCAGTATAAATTAAGAGGTGTCAGTCATACATGTTTAATACACCTCAATTATGCATGGATTTAAAATTATCGTCTGGTGCAATATTCCAGTTTGGAGACACAAGAGAACAGCTTGTTCATGGAGTAACTCTTGAATGCATCTGCTAATATTAATTATGTACTAATTATGTACTATTAGTAAATTATGTTTGCAGTGTGTAAAATTTTTTCTTTTTACTCCATCACCATCTTCCTCATTTTGCAGGTGAACTGGAGCGCAGAATATATAGAGGTCAATCTCATAGAGATGTTGCAGACATTTTAAAGGCGTGTAAGTCCTTAAGACTAGATGCATATTTGTATTTATGTAAGTGAAACCTCAAACAACTGTCAAAGGCAGAAACAACATCTGGACATGATAATAACTTTATACCAAAGCCCTGGTTTTGCACTCTCAATCATTAATCAACTCTCAACTCTCCTGTTCAGCTACATTTGAAAAGAAAATTGATGGTTCTTTTTCCAAGCTGAGTCTCTTCCTCTCTCATTTTATTTTTCCAGCGCATGTTATTTGCACCAGTGAGTAAGTGTATAGTTTGACATTCTGTGAAAAAACTCCTAAGAAGCTATAGCCTGTACTTGGAAAAAGAGAGTATCACTAAGATCAGCACTTTCAACTTTCCATAACGTTATGTAGCAAGAAACTGAATGAGCTTATTGAATGAAGAAACTGATGAACTTGCGGTTTTAAGCTTTCTGGGAATCTGATTTTATCTCTGAAAAGCTGGTACAAGGTTACAGCGTTAAAATGGATTTGTCTGCAAAACAGCAGACGTATTTTCTTATTCTTCAGAAAATTTGGCAACTTGTTCTCCAAGACATCTGCGGGTCAGATCCCTGCAGTGATGTCCAGAGCTTTATTCTCCTGATGCTTCATGCGATGGCATCTCCGTTCAGTCCACTTGACAGGCAAAACAAGAGCTGCCGCGTTAGCTGGGGCCCGTGGCTTGCTTAGTCTTGCAGTTCTGTAGCAAATACTTTAGGAGAAGACATGAGAAGTACCACCAGGCTCCAGCAGTCCCTTTTCCCGCCACCAAGATTTTACTCCAGCTGTGAGCAGAGATTGATGTTGAGTGCTGTATTACAAGTTTGTTAGTGCTTCCAAAAAAACGTTTGTGTTAATTCGGGAAGCTCTGGATATTCCTGCTTTATGTTTGATTCCCTAACTTCCCTAATACGGCATGTTTTAAGGGAGTTTCTTGGGCTAGTTCATTATGAGGAAAATTAAGATTAAAGTAACATACCCCATGCCATACAGAAAATGAGTGACAAAAACAAGCTTAGCATATGATGTGTCTCTACATACTTTGACAAGAAAAGTTTAAGTGGCTATAAATTAAAATGCAGGTGATTGGATGAGGACAGATGTAGCATGAAACACTTAGTTTTATTTGTCTTTTTTTTAAAAAAGTTGATCAAGTCAATGTCTTGACCTTAAAGAAGTGGATTATTTTCTCAGTGTGTTTCCCATTTTCAGGTAAATGGGTAGAAAGGAAAAATTCTGAACATTCATTTACTTTGCAGAGAGTTGATTTTTTTGCTGCAGGCTTCATAACTGGTGCCCTCTCCCTGAAGGAATGAAATGGTAAATAAATGTATTCTCTGATTTTGGTAATATACTCTTTGTTTACCAAACTCTTATATGATCTAGTACATGAGCTTGTACATGAAACCTGTCTGCTCTGTTTGAGGTCACGCTGTTCCCTGTAAGCTAGAAACCCATTTTTGTTCTTCACCATCACCTTCTGTCCTGATCCATGGAACCAGAAGTGGATGCCAGTAAAGTGGATGCCAGTCCTCCATCCCTAGTGGCATTCAAGGTCAGGCATGATGGGGCTCTGAGTAACCTGATCTAGCTAAAGATGTCCCTGCTCACTCCAGGGGAGTTGGAGTAGGTGACCTTTAAAGGTCCCTTCCAACCCAAATCATTCTATGATTCTACTGGAATGG